TGCACTACCTCCTTCCGCGCACTTTTATTATTTCCTTTTTAAAAGGCGGACTACACACGTGGGACTCTTCTGTTGTTGCGGGTGACCATGGGCGGCGCTGATCGCTTACAATCGCTGATCCGTCTGCTCGTTTGCCTTCTATTCCATAAAAAATACTTTAAGTTAACTGTTTTAAATAAAAGATAACACAAGTTTAAATGTCACCTCATTAGTAACAATATAAAAATTCAGTTCTTCATTGTATGCAATGATTGGCAAGACGAAATTGCATTCAGCTATATTAACTGATTTCTGATAACATGTTTAGTCTACTTGAAGTTTTATCGCTAAATTTGACAACTTCATCCATTTCTTCCTTTTTTCTTTGTTAATAAACCGTTACCCCACACTAAAATTTTCCCCTGCGTCGTGGGTGCGTTTACAAACATACAAGTTCACCACCACCACAAATACAAACCAGAAACAACAATTTGTTGATCACATAAAGAGTTGCTCCGTGAGGGAATTGCACCCTTGCGCGGTAGCCGGTTACCCAGCCACCACGCCAACTGTCCAGTTGATTTATCTATTTATCTACATATATTTCCAATAACTAAATCTATAGATAAGTTATTGAGACCGGCAGTAGCCTAGCAACGCAACAAAACATAATCAAAAGTTAATTGTTTCTAAAGAACTTTGATAATATTTTGTTTACTACGATTTCCTAGAAACAGGAGCCGGGGCCAAAAACAGTTTCTTTACATAATGAAGTAATGGAATTCTGGAAGTTTCCCATTGTTTTATTGGCTTAGTCAACTTGTGCGGGAACTGTGATTGTGTTCTATTATCGACGGTCTGACAGGGCTGTATTTAGATTTGGGTTACATATTTTTAGTTTCTGCTTTAGAATAGGAAACTAATATAGCAATGACGGAGTATCATTTGAGGTAACTTCTAGGTTATTGATTGTAAACAAAATGATAATAATCGAGATATGTAAAATAACAGTTCGTTTTTTTACGTTATAATTTGAATGTGTTCATAATATTAATTTACCCGAAGTTTTGTTGCAAAATTTTGCTGAAATATATTTAAAAAATAACCTATAAATGTTTTATAATAATCCTAAAAGTTAATATACTTTTGAATTGATTAAAAAAGACGTGGAATATTTCACTAGTATTTGAAGATGAAAAATTCTCACGGAGCCTAAGCCTTCGGGGATAAAAGGCGTTGATATTAATGTTATTTTAAGTTTCTAAATGCGGCTCTGCAGAAATAAACACACACTTCCGAATTTAGAACCTTCATTCCTTTCAATGACAGTATGGAACATACATATGCTTAGTGATCAACCTTACCTGACTTAACAATAGAATTAGAAACACTTCGTAGAAAACATGGCTGTATTTTTTTGTATTGTAACTTTCGTGAGACATACCTACTAAATAAATTATTATTTTTTCGGCTTACTCACGTAATAATTTAACGAGGAACTCGACTAGTTTCAAGCCATGCTAGAGGCTCAGAGTATTTTCGACTCTATGCTCTATGCTCTACTCTGCTCATGAATATGAGCAGAATGCTGCTCATGAATATGAGCCACCAGCGAAGCCACGGGCTGTAAGCTAGTATAATTATGTAAACCAAAAACACTTAAACATAATTTGAAATGTTTTTAAAAAGGTCAGTACAGTTAATTAATCTATTTAACCAGAATATAATTAAAAAATCAAGTGAAAACTAGCCTTCCATTCAGATTTATCACTTTATCTTGTTAAAAATCAATAAGGAACTTTCTCAAACCGTGCTCCCGAAACTTGACTTATATTATACACAAAGTAAAACTAAACAAAAGTAAAAGTACCGTTAGTAGCAAAGACACAGAGGGCACTAGTGTATTTTTTATTTTATCTATCTCTATAACTTGAACTAAAAATCGTGGGCAACTCACATGAATATACTGAGAAAAGCTCTACTAGTTTCGAACCACAGAGGGGTTCTTGCTCATGAGCAGCGTGCACGGTCGCAGCGATGTCGCGCAGCCTAAATAAGAACCCCTCTGTGGTTCACAATTAGTAGAGCTTTTCTTAGTATATTCACGTGAGTAACCCACGATTTGTAGTTAATTTAGTAAAACAAATATTTCAATAAAATGCTCTCATTTTATTTTAAAGGTAACTAAATTGCTACATGCGTTACCAATTAATAAAATAGTTACTCATCAGATGATATTGATCAAGGAATGAAAAAGTTGAATCGATAGTGGCGCCCTTTCTTTGGTCCGAAGTGTACATTCGGCCTAAGTTTAGTTTGTGACTATCTTAAGCTAGCTATTTATCATTGTAAATGGTCTGAACCCGGATTTACGTTGATTTTGTGACCAAAATATTTGGGTTTCCCTGCCTACATTAAGCCCAAACATTTCGTATTCAGAATGTGTTTGTGACCCGTTGTAAGCGTCGAATTTTTATGGACATTTCTTTTAAATGTGTTTTCAGTTAATATTATTTATGTTTATTCTGTACTAGCTTATGCCAGCGGCTTTGCCCGCGTTCCCAGGGGTACAAAGTAGCCCATGTATCACTTTAGACCATAACCTACCTGTTTCAAATTTCATGCCGGACCCTTTACGAATTTATAATATCGGTTCAAACTAATTTCAACCATTGATCATATAGTTACAGCGTAAAGTCCATTGCAGGCAAGCTAATATTCGACAAACTTATATTTGCGTTTAGTAAAGTAACTATGTCTAGCGACCAAGCCAATTAAGTGTATGTTTTCGTGTGTATACTTTTTCGAGATACAGAGAAAATACGCTAACATACACATAGACAGACAGACAGGCAAACATTGTTTAATCACATTTTTGGTTTCGGTGTCTATCTAAGTAACACCCCCCTACAATTTATTTTTTTAATCTTTTCTATGTACAGAATTTACACTTCTACAGTTTTAGTATTTGATATAACATACTAAACCACAGCAAAACTATGTAACAAGAGAATTGTATTGTGAACCTGATTGAAAAAAAGTAACCTATGGAGTTTCTTGCTCGTTCTTCTCCATAGGAATCTACACCTTGGAATGAGCAAATAGCTTCACTTTTAAATTTCTATTGCTGACGTTCAAAAGTGCCTTCCTGGTCTAATTGAAATAAATGATTTTTGACTTTTGACTTTTGACAACATGCTAGCATATTTTCTCTAAAATATCATTGACCATAGGTAAAAAGTAAAAGTAGGGTTTAGGTTCAGACACTACGCTTCATAGGGCTTTTCAGATATGAATACGGTAAATGAAATATAACTCATGCATACAATCAAATTAAACACATTTTTCTTTTTATAGATGGTGCTTGGAGCCATGCCCTTGGCTGTGGCGGCCATTAACCGGGAACCAAGTCTGCTACCCGGGTACAAATTACGCTTTGTGGCTGCTGACATCGGTCGCTCTAGACCACATCTACCCATGGATAAGGATAGTTTGACACTACGGTAAGAATATCAAACATAACTTGTTTTTAATTAACATCACTCTGTTGGTTGAGCGGTCGCAAGTGCCTTGCCTAGGGGTCTTGGGTTCGATTCCCGGCTCGGACAAAGTATTACTGGGTTTAAAAAAATTCTCAGTAGTAGCACGGAGACTGGAATTGTACCCGGTATATGGCAATAGGCTCTCCCCCTATTACATGGGACTCATAACATGAATAGTGAAAAGTGGGTGTTACATTGTATAGTGACATTAAGTGCCGTTATGTGCACTGATGTTATGTTAGATTTTCTTTACATATAAACTTAACATAAAATAATTTGATAATCAAGCAACCCAATTAATTGTAAAATTCTCATTTGTTTGGCTTTAATACAAGCTAATAAATTAATTAATGATGAATCAAAAATCCTAGTGACCTGGATGACACAGGCATCTGGGTTAATCAGCTTTGAAATGAAACGAAACCGGAAAATTCTGATACATTTTAATTTATTTTTCATAACTCTTATTACGATAGATTTAAGATTGCATTTGATTGACTTTTCTCTTCCCCATTAAGCAGCTTATATTAATAAGACGCTGGAAATTTTTGCCGTATTTATTTTTGTGTAGAAAAGAAATTAGGTTAAGATGTTGAAATTATGTCTATAGAATTCATTTTTTAATTTCAATAATTTTTTTTGTATAAAAATATACCTCTGGCGGTTTGTGTTGACTGTACAGCTTAATTAAACATGGATTCATTCGGGAATCACAACAAATAAAAGGAAAATATTAAAAAAATTATCATTTATTTTATCTATTATATCTTTTACACACACGATATAATATTTATTTAGATTTTTTGTGCTAGTTTTTTTTTAAATGGGACAACCACAACCTGCTTAAACCGCTGCAATTACTAAAAGCCAGGATCTACAGTAGATACAACCATGAAAAAACCGGAATCCTGAAGTCCCAGGGACATGAATAAGTCTTAGATCCCGCATTGAAATAAATCAGAATACTGGTAGTTATATTAATAGGACTGCCTCGTTGGCCGCGTGGTCGCAATTGCGACTGCCGGGCAAGGGGTCTCGGGTTCGATTCCCGGGTCGGGTAAAATATTACTTGGTTTTTTCAAAACATCTTAGTAGTAGCACGTAATCTGGAATTGTGCCCGGTATATGGCAATAGGCTCACCCCCTATTACATGGGACTCATAACATAAATATTGAAAAGTGGGTGTTACATTGTATAGTGGCATTAGGTGCCGTAATGTACACCTCTGCCTACCCCTTCGGGAATAAAAGGCGTTATGTTATGTTTGTATATTAATAGGGAAGAAAAAAAAAGGTTGTTTTCACTTGCCTCGGTGAATTTATGCAGGAGACAGAATGACTTACGTCTAAAGGCACAAAAGAGATTTTACGACTTGGAGAAGCTCAGTCGCCAAGTACCACGGAAAATTTTACTAAAACTATATCTTCATACTAGTATGCTGAATAGTATGTTACCATCAACCTTTTTTGTACAGGGTAATGACACAGATGCGTGACCTTGGAGTGGTGGCGTTCTTCGGCCCTGATGGTACCTGTCACACGGAGGCCAAACTAGCTGCAGCGTGGAATCTGCCCATGATATCACACGTAAGTACTTTTTAGTTGTTTTTCGTGTAATAATAATGATAATAAAACATCTACTTTTTCATGGAATTATTGTGTAAATTGAAAGCGATTCTTTCTTTATTCTTCTGTAGAGGGACGTCCATAACAGTAGACTGACGAATTTCTAACTTATTGCACATATTGTAGCCGAACGAGTGATTCCATTTGAAAGCACATCTACCTATTTCTATATAAAATGTAATTATCTGTAAATACCTCAATGTTGAACAGTTAATATGATTTATTTTTACCTGGTTTAACTAAAAATCTTGGATTACTCACGTGAATATGCTCTGCTAGTTTCGAGCCACAGAGGGCTCTTCTCATGAGCAGCGTGCGCGGCGATATCACACAGCCTATTGGTTATTGTCAGCGCTTGTGTTGATGTTGCTTTCAACTCCGGGCAGTGATAGCGCTTGGGACGATGTTAAAACGCACGGTATATTCTCCAGTGGCGTGTGTAGTAGGTTCGATTTCAGGTTCGGTACAAAGTCAGTATTACATATAACGTTTACCGTGGCACACTCCAGATTAAAAACGCTGTGGATCGTATATTTTTATCTGATTAAAATATCCAATACTTATTAGTTATTTTATGTCATAAGAGCAGAATACCGAAACTGGGGTAAACATTGCCCCAAATATCACTTATAGGGAAAAATTTGGTGTTTTACTTTATTGAAATTAATACTTCAGAACGAATGTACTTATTTAATTCGCTTTGAGCCTTTCTCTGAACCTTCAACATAATGAATACGGAAAGGAAAATGAACCAGGCTAATATTTTGAAAACAGTGCTTCTCAACCTTTTTACTCAGAGACCCATTTTATGTTTAAAAAACGTGACATTACTCCAAAGGAAGAGATAAAAAAAATTAAAATTTGGAGGTACACATGTCTTTTTGTGTGTTTTTTGCATTGCGAGTCCCCCCCCCTGCCCTTCTCGAATCTCTCTAATCCTTTAATCCAAAGCAATCCTCAATCTCAACTCTTAATCCCCAAAAGGCCGTGAACGTACTTTTAACTCCTTTGGCATTCCAGGTGTCCATGGGCGACGCCGATTACTTACCATCAAGTAATCCATCTATTTTTACAGGCCTATCCCATAAAAAAAAACCTATTATCTTACGATTTTCCACTAAGCGAGCTCATTTCTCTTTTGCTATTACCGTACACTGCCTCAATTTAAGGCTCCTTGCTATTGTGCTACTTTACCTGACCCATGAATTGAACTAAAGACCCCTTGTATGATATTCGCATTCCACTGACGGGGCACTTTGATAGTTACAAGATTAATGAAACACTTCATTTAATTTAGTATTAGTGAAAAAAAAATCGCTATATATTGATAATTTTAATATTTTAACAACGCGAGAACGTGATCGTTTGAGAAACGTAGGCCTAAACAGTATGAGTATTATAGAATATAAATTACACACACTCAGTAATTATAAGTACGCTCATACTATATTTATTGAATCGATACATAATAATTAATATTCTGTATATTAGAGCAACTAGTTCTAAAGTCAAAAGTCAAAGACCAGGATGGCACTTTTGAAAGTTAAAACAAAATATTTAAATATTAAATAATATATTATAAGGTATAATTATTCTCCTAAATAAATATACCTTATAATATGCCACTATGAAAGGAATAAAATAATGATGATATACACAAATAAAATGCATTTCATAACTGACAAACGAATAATCTCACTAACTAATTTAAGATGAATCTAATTAATACGAATTTGTACAGTTTATGTTGTATCGTAATATAACAAACAAATGCGTATTTGATTTTTGTCTTCAATGTAGAATTCATTATGTATTTTCGTTTTAGTTATTAAGCTTTCTTATGGTGTAATCAATTGTGTATTAAGATCATCTACCGGATCATACCCAGAACACCAGAGGCTTTACAAGTGCTTTACCGGCCATTGGGGATTTGAAATTTCAGGATTGTTTGGGATTCAAGGATTAGGGAAATTGGGAAGAGGGGTGTGGTAATTGGGCCTTTGGCAACCTCTTTCACACGACATAACACAACGCAAGCGTTGTTTCACGTTTTCTGGTATCACTCCAATTTCGCCGGCCCATTCGTGCCGAAGCATGGCTCTCCCACACTTACACAAGATACTCGATATGGCTGAGCAAGTGATACGGACACAGTTGTATCGTATTGAAATAACTGAGTACGTTGCACAAAAGGCTTTGACTTTGACTCTGTTGGTACCCATGTGTGGATGTGGACCCTCTATTTTATACCCGCTTTTATGTCCAAAACGACTCTCGAATTCCTATCTGCATATATTGTATATCTATAAAACTATGTTATTTTGAATTGGTTGGTACTACATAAAGGCATGTTTTGGTGGTTGGTGGAGTAATCATGACCCTGATTGTTGCAAGAGATTTCATCACTGCAAAGAGGTTCAATGAGATCTTTTAATAAAAAATATAACACGGAGTCTACTATCCTTACAATCTGGATTAAAGAGTGAATGAATACATAATAGAGGTATAATATAATACACAATGTTTCGCTCATTCTTCTCAATATCAATCTAAATTGATACGAGTACATCCTGTTGAATGTGAGTGAGTCCAGTGAGTTTCAGTAAGTGAGTGAGTTATACCAGAGTAGAGTTACTTACATATAAGGTTAATATAAGGTTTATTCCAACTACCACTCGGTAGTTGGAATAAACTTTCACATCTCTTGGGATTAAAATATCTTATTAACGGAGAAGTAGTTAGTTGCGATATTAAAACTACAGTTCTATATAAATCTAGTTTATATAAGTATAGATGTGGAATGGACAGTGTTTGTTGAAGTAAAATTACACATAGTATTATATATTTTAATACTTTTATAACTCAATAGTAACTTTATAACTCAATAAGTAGTAACACGGAGTCCGGAATTGTGCCCGGTATATGGCAATAGGCTCACCCCCTATTACATGGAACTCATAACATAAATAGTGAAAAGTGGGTGTTACATAGTACAGTGCTATAATGTGCACCTCTGCCTACCCCTTCAAGGATAAAAGGCGTAGTGTTATGTTATGTTTTATAACTCAACGAGTGAGTATGACGTGTAACTGCTGAGCAATGTGTGTCGAGTTTGAGATGCAGGTCCAACAAAGTCACGTCATTAACCTAAAACCCATGACGGAATAAAAGTCTCTTTTCTCTCAGAGAAGCTATAGACATTAGGCACCGCACATGGTCAAGGTGGACTAGCGATTTCAATTATAATTATAAATTAATTATTATGTTTCGGCTTACTTACGTAACTGTTTGACGAAGAACAGTGCCAAGTAAGCCAGCACTCAGTAGTAGCGCGACAGTCACCGCTTTGTGGATTGGGGAATGCTGCTCGTGAATATCAGCCTCTAACATGGCTTGGAACTAGTCGAGTTCTTCGTCAATTACGTGAGTAAACTGAAAACATATTAATAAATTTAGTAAGTCTCATGAAAGTTATGATATAATTATTAAACATAAGAGATTTGCATCCATTGGTAAAAATACTAGTTTCGTACTGACGATGATGACATAGTTTTTTTTTATTCGGACAAGCCCGCCACAACTTCCCAAAACCGCTGCAACTCCTGTTAACCAGGATCTACAGTAGATACGACCGATATGATGATGACATATTTACTTATAGTGTAAATATACCCTTGTAAGGTGCAATACAATGAGCTCTATTCAAAACTTAGACAAGTTTTAATCAGTCAGCCGACTAAGATTTTCTACTGTGATAAATTGTGTTGGCATAGTTCGCTATTCAACTACTCGCAGCTGGAAAACTATTTTGACGTCACATAATCGTTAGATTAAACAAATAGAAAGTTTTACCCGTTTTCATCAACCTTTCGTAAATTTTAAGGTAAGCTTAACTTAAGATAAATGACGTTTAACGTCTTTTGGCTTTTATGCCTATAAGTGATAAGAAACGGTACCTAAGTAAGATGTTAGTTTGGATGGTATGTCATGCTAAGTGACTTTTAGTTAAGTGAAAATTTAGAGGTGAGTGAGAGTGCAAGTTTAGAGACTGCCTGGTTGGCCGAGTGGTCTCCGAGGCGGAGTGCGACTGCCGGGCAACGGGTCTCGTGTTCGATTTCCGGGTCGGGCAAAGTATTACTGGGTTTTAAAAAAATTCTCAGTAGTAGCACGGAGTCTGGAATTGTGCCCGGTATATGGCAATAGGCTCACCCCCTATTACATGGGACTCATAGCATAAATAGTGAAAAGTGGGTGTTACATTGTACAATGGCATAATGTGTACCTCTGCCTACTACTCTATAAAAGGCGTGATGTTATGTAAGTTTAGAGGTGATTAGTGCGAACAGCCACTAATGTTCCAAAATTAATAAAATCTAGGACACACAAAAATGTATTCTTTTGTATTTTTATTTACGAACAAAAATAAGTACCTTTAATACAACAAGTACTTTGTTAAAATTACATTTTTGTAAAACAATCCACTGGATTGGGAACAACGACCTCTCTTCACTTCAAGCAGGTCCTTTGAAATAGAACCTCGATTTGAATTAAAAAACTCCATAATCCGAAAAGGTGTAATTACTTTAAGTATTTTGTTTTTTAACAAAGAATGGTAATACTTAACGTGCACATACAATACGTACGATACGATATCACTCCCCATTTTTCTTCTATTATTTTCTGAATTCAATCTGATAGGGGTGATCCTATTTTCGGAACAAGCCTACCTCGACCTCCTAAAAATTTATGTGTATATTATCTCATACTGTGCACAATTCCAGAGCCCGAGGAATTTTCAAAATACCAAAAAAGCACTGTCCGATCGGGAAATCGAACTTCACAGTCTTACGTAAGACCATTAAACCAATGATTCAGTCACAGGTAGTAAACAGTATCTTATTATTTAATATACTGTGTAGGTGTCTTCACACCAATCGACCCTGTAACCTTTACACATCTACGCCGTAGACGGTTGCTACGAAAATGCCTACGGCGTAGCCCCTCGTAGCCAATGTTTCTGAGAAATGACAGGGATAATGCTTGTAGGTTAATGAAATAAATTAATGTGACATGTTCATTGTGTTTTGAACTCTGTTGACCCTTTGGAATGACATGATAGAATGTCGTATTTTAAATTCCCTAATTACACGTATTAAACAACTATTTTCAAGTCCTGCTTAGGTACACCTAAGCAGTACTTGAACATAGTTGTTTATAAAACTCGAAGCTACTTATTTTACAATAGTAATTACTACTCGATAAACCAGACAATCGCAATGTACTAAGAACTATAAATTAATACTAGTGCTATATATAGATATGGCGAGTACGGATTACTTTGACATATAAATACTGATGACTGCCGTAATGGTCGAATAGTTGCGATTGCCGGGCAAGGGGTATTGGGTTCGGTTTCCAGGGTCGGGCGAAGTATTAATGGTTTTTTTAAATCTCAGTACCAAGGAGTCTTACCACTTAAACTAGATATTACATTGAACAGAGTCATTAAGTGCCGTAAGGTGCACCTCTGCCCACACCTTCGGTGATAAAAAGCATTTTTATACACATAATGTATAAATACTTTAAAAAGTTTTGTCACTTGACTCAGATAAACGAATAAAATTATTTGAATTACATTAAAGCGAAGTCTTTAGAGCACAACTTTTTACTGTATTCATTTATTCAAATAAAAAACTTAAATTTAAAACTAACTATTACTTAAAAAAATTAAAACTAAATATTTCTAAATTAAATACCTATATACAACTAAAGACTAAAATTAATTATAAGAAAAAAACAAAAACAACTATTTGCATAAAGCGTCGAAAAATTCGTCCGCATCGACGTCAGTGGGGAAAGTACCCAGAAGGCTGGCAGCATTGCCACGTTGTATGGCAATGCTTAACCTCTGACCGAGAAAAAGACCAGCCCTCTGGTCACGAAGTTACGTGTGAAACTTTGTAAGATTTAACGTTAAACCACCCCTCTAAAATGAATGTTGTAGAAATTATTCACTTCAACAATTTAGTACTGAGCTGTTAATTTGGCCTCGAAGTTTAAGTTTAGATACATTGTATCATAACCTAGAATTTAAGATATTTAGGTTAGAAGGAAACTATATACAACATTGTTAAATACAACAATACAAATCTCACGATCGATTTATATCATGGTGGCCAGGGTACTCAGACTAGCCCATTCATCATCAACAGACTTATAATTAGAAATTCTAAGCCCATGTTTCCTCACGATGTTTTCCTTCACCATTTGTCAGTGGTGTCTAGATAATGTTAGAAAGTACATATAACTCGGAAAAAGTCGCATTGGTACTTGCCGTTGGGAGGTTTAGAACTTGCACCCGCATGAGAAGCGGGCGTCTTGAAACTCCGGGACACCACGACATTACGCAGGAGACTAGCCCATTACGCAGGAGATATTATAGTACTCAAATATGTACACAAACACAAGTGCACTCTCTGTTCCCTCACTCTCTGAACCCGATGGAACGGCAGACCGACACGACCGAATAGAGATTAGGTGCAGGACCACGTGCTTTTCAAGTCACGCTGGTGAAACACTGCAGAATTTTCTGACTCTGAGATTCAAACTTGTGACACGTCCCACAGGAGCTGTTCACGCAACCACTATGCCAATCGTATAGTGAATTATAGTTACAGTAATAGTTAACAATATATTATTTCATAAACCGTATGATAAAGGTAGAATAGAATATATTTGACACTATCCCTGTTCTTCGTATGGGTATTGTAAAAATCGATTAAAGGACACATTTGACAGAGACCGGCCGGGACAGCCTTTTTTGTTTAACTTGAACCTCTTGAACGATCCCACTCGTTTGATGAGCGGGAAGTTTAAGACTACCCCTCTTACGTAGAGGAAGTCCCTATAGACATTCTGCTGACTTTTCCAGATTCGGACTCTCAGAAGCAGTTGATGTATGATACATGTACCAAGGATGTAACCAAAGAATTTTGTTTGACAGAAATGTGCTGGTGCTCACGGCTCATTCGAGAAGGGTTCGGGTCTTGGAGCCACCTTCGCAAGGACCTTGCCTCCAGCCTATAAAGCCAGCAAGTCAGTCGTGGCGCTCCTGAAGGCATTCGGCTGGTCAAAGTTCGCTATAGTAGCTGGTGATGAGCTGACGGCTGCTGCACAGCAATTGGATGCCATTAAGGTGAGTTTTTATGTAGGTAAAGTAAGTTGTTCATGGGATAGGGACCAAACAAACACGACTTGACTGCACGGTTGGTGCGGTGGCTGGGCAACTGACTGCCGCGCAACGTATCGCGGGTTCGATTCCCGCACGGAACAACTCTTTGTGTGATCCACAGATTGTTGTTCCGGGTCTGGGTGTCATGTGTATGTAAACTTGTGTGTTTGTAAACGCACCCACGACACAGGAGAAAATCCTAGTGCGGGGCAACGTTTAAAAAAAAAAAAAAAAGAACCGATGGATGACGTGATGGTAAGCAATCAGTATTGATTATATACACCTTCAAAACTAGGGGGCCTAAAAAGGTAACATTGAGTGAAACATTTCTAATATAATTCATTTGATGACTTGTAAGAGAATCACCTTAATCAGATCAGATCAGTTACAAGTCCATTTTTCACCCTTTGTTAGGGAGATAGCCATATTGTTGCCATATTCTCACACCATATTGTTTGTTATACGTCATCACTACGGTCAAGCTAATCCATTTGTTCCGCAGCGTGCAGCATTATTTTCTCACGAATGGACATGATGTTATAAAAAAAAATACGAAAGCTATGTTAGTTCCAAGTTAGTAAAACTCATATAATGTTATGTGTGTTCTTGAGCTGTACTTTTAAATACGATCATGAAACCACAAAAGTAATGAAAAATGGTTAAACGGAAAGTGATTTTCTCGATTTTAGTCAAACAATAGAATGATGATAATATATATTAATGTTCAGCGAATACAATCATAAAATGTGGGTCATCTACTACAGAGATCCAATGAATCATAAAATATCGTTTAAAGTCTTAGAAATTTATTTTGTAGCCGATTAATTTCTTACACAATGGTTTGACCTTGACACGGTAAAATACAATATCATCTTTGTTATCTAAATTCATGTTAGTTATTTGTTAGCATCAGCTATTCACGTAAAAATATTTTAGCAATGTCTCTGACGCCGTCAGAATTTCATCATATTTTTATTTGTATAAATACCTAGACATTTTATAATATTTGTAAGAAAAAAATATTTATTTATAGAAAAATAATTTTGTTTTAAATAACGAGGTGACATTATTAAAGTCGAAGAGTCTGTGTTTATTAAAAAAAGGACTTGAAATAATATTTTTTATAACTATACTATCCACCGTACTCAGAGTCATTTAATGGCTACCGCGCCTCAAAGAGCCATCAGACCACTACAGATGGGGCCCAACAGGGCCGATGCCGATTCGAAGTCGCGGAGAACCGTTAGGGTTACCGGGGCTCCGGCTCGACGTGCAGGAGAAGGAACGGGGTGGTTTTTAGTCAGTAAGAGTCTGACACTCCCTTCCGCCCCACCCATTCGACAATTTTTCCCCCTTAAAAAAACCCAATTGTTTTCGGAACATAATCGTTATTATGGAACAGTATAAGTAATCATTAAATGTCTTTAAGTACGCCAGTAAGACTGAATAAATGAATTCTCTGAATAAAAGAGTACATAAAGCATTTCTCTTAAAGTTTAAAGTCAGTATTGAGCAGTGATCAGATTTCGTGGAATGTTGAAGTTTTCAGAAATTGAAAATCTTACAGTAAATTTTTCCAATGCCAAATAAATTTTAACTAAGGAATAACTTTGAACATTTAACATTCTTTCTATACTAAAAACTGTTATTAATGTGTATTCTATAGTTAAAAATTAACTAATGTTTAAAAAATCGGCCCTTAAGTACACTTCTCATCATGAAAACCGAGAAGCAGGGCAAGCGCAACTGATGGGAAAATAATAATATATTCTTGACTTGGTGACTCAACAAACAAGGCTATTAATATTTCTGTAAACCAGACACTTCACTACAATGTCTAGCAACAAGTGTCTGTTAGGAAATAGTAAAATTTAAGTACGCTATTAAGTTAACAGATCGTTACCTAATTCTTAGAGTACATTAACTTCTGTTGGATCATCTTTTTACGAGTGTAACAAGGTCTTGTATAAAATTATCGTGTAAAATCTTTTTTAAGAATAAATTAGAAGTTAGTTTTTGACAATTTGTTGACTATATATAATAATATTAGGACTTGGGTCATTTTCCTCAAAAAATAATTTTATGTTTGTGACTATAAACTTCACACAGTTTGTTAAACCGAGTCAATCTAATAAAATATGTATATCTATTATTATTTCAAACACTCCAACCTTTTATATTACTTAATACACAATTATATTTTGTTCCCAGGAACTAGCCCAATCTAACGGCATGGTGATCACAGCTGAACATCGGTTCGCTGACTACATTCCACGCCTGATCTCTGATATGGAGAGAATCGTGGACCAGACCTATTATAAAACGAGAGGTGAGTACTGGAATATATTATGTATACGATTATTGCGACGTCCTTGGTCATAATCTCAGTTCAGCTTCGTCCACTGCTAGGTACAGTCCTGCTCCTTTTTCAGTTTTATGCATTTTCTTTCCACTTCCATTCGTCATCCATCAGCGTTCAGCGACTCTGACAACCAATGGTATGAAAATTCTTAATAATTACTAGAAAACCCAGTATCGACAATTATAATTTTGTCCGAATTGTATATCCACTCGTCTAACTCATCGGAGAATGAAATCGAGCACGAATGAAATCTGTAATACAAAATGCATATAAAAGAAAGTCTTGTTAGTTACACTATTTATAACTTTAAGTGTGAGAGAGCCATGCTTCGGCACGGTTCGACTGAAGTAATATCACAGTCACACAGAATACTGACGTATAACAACGATTGCGTAGTTTCCAAAGTGAGGTTACCAGAGACCCAATTGCCCCCTTCCCCAATCTTCTCAATACCTGAATCCCCAAAAATTCTCAGATTATAAATCCCTCAAAAGCCGGTAACGCACTTGTAACATCTTTGATGTTTCGAGTGTCCATGGGCGGCGCCGATTACTTACCATCAAGTGACCCGTCTGCTCGTTTACCGGCTGATTTCGTTAAAAACACAAAATGGCTAAATTGATTTGGCTTAAATAAAATATCCTTGGATTTCTCGAAAATACTACGGAAACTGGAAAAACGGGATTGCGTGTACGAAGTCACGGGCAGAAGTTATATATAAGCCCGATTACATAACTGCACAACTTAAAATCTAAAACTATTTCAGCAATGAATGATTCAGGTACATAATCTTTTTTACATGTGGGTTTACAAGGTACGTTCTAACTGTAAGACACACAGATTCAACATTAATACCTGGATTAGAAAAGTATGCTATATCTGAAATCTTGAATTTGTATCTTGATCTTGAAATTCTCAAAGAAGTTCTGAATTTAGAGCATGGTAAATATATAATCCCATTTAAACGACATTACAAACAAAATGAATGGATTAAAACTTAATTCGGTTTCACGGTCGTTTAAATGTTGAGGGATTTTATTTGATGTATCGTGTTTTAGGAACGTAATTGTAAAGGGTTACCTGTCGTGTGGGTGCCATCAATGTTATGAAGGTAAATAATTTTTATTTGATTATTTTTTGATTCCCGTATTTGTCTGTGATAGCAAGGAATCCAAAATTTGTTACGGTCAAAGGTTAAAAGTCCACTGCCACCGTAAGACTAATATCGGTTGCGCTGCAGCGCTTATGGCTTATAGACACATGCACACGCATATTTTTCCGTGTGCGTACGCGTGCGTGTGTTTATGCGTACGCACGCGTTTATATGCACATTAATATGAAATTACTTACGCATTGCTGTGTGAACATCACTCACGATGGCAGTGGACTTTTGACCTTTGACTGTAAATCCCATGTTTTTGGAAATGATTGATTATACCGTGTGGAGAATAAAACGTGTGTGATATTACGTGTATAAAGAATATTGAGTTTATTCTGTTTGCTTGAAAATGAAATGATAAGGTTAACAAGCACGGCTCCGGCACTGTGTTTTTCACCGTGGAAGCAATACAAAAAGACTGTGTGAGCCCACTGCGCGCTACGGGCGGCACGTGGTCGACGCGCTGACAGTGGGCTTTTGTATTGATGTTATGAAATACATATTTCATCTATACACCTATATCTAAACAGATAAATCAAATTGGATTGTTTGTTTGTAATATCAAAATAATCGCTTTTACTATACGCACAAGAATATACATAAGATACACATACCAAAATAATAATCTTTACAATTATTGTCTGTCTGTTTGTGCTGGCTAATCTCTGAAATGGCTGGACTGATTTTGACGATACTTTCATTGTCAGGTACCTGATATACTAAGGAGTGACATAGGCTATTTTTATTTTGGAAAACTGAACCGAAACAGTTATGTACTAAAACTCATGTTCTATGCAGGCGAACTCGCGGGCAACAGCTAGTTAATTATAAAGATGAAATGTTCAAAAAATGACAAGTTGATTGCTGGATTGCAGCCGTGTCAGTTAACTGTCCTATGGACCTTTATTCTCTAGTAATACTTTTCCGTAAACAAAAGCAGTCGCACTATTCAAATCTTTGCACCATTTTGAAAATTACGAAATAAAAGTACCTTATCATATTTATCTTAAAGGATTGAATTGGAAAATAAGATTGGTAGTTCTGTCATTTCAAAGTCAAAGTCAATTTATTTTAAGTGGAAGCCGTTAAAACAGAAATAAAAATAAAAGTATCGTATATTCCAATCGAGATTACTTATCGAATTTAAAATTGAAGTTCAAGTTCATACTCTTCATGGAATTTTCATGAAATTGACGCATTGAAAGGGCAAAAATATTTAATCGAAATAATTCAACGTCGAGCTGTGATAAATGTTGTTTATTTTGTTAAAACGAAATGACTTATTGAAATTATAAAATTGTGAAAATTTTCCCAATAAATTGACATCAAGTGTGTGAATGTGCAGAAGGTCAATTCATATACAATTTGCTACTGCATATTGGAAGTTCAATATTTATAACTGCGTCTTTGAGATTTTAAGTCTCAAAATATGGCTACCCAGTTGTGGCGACACGTGACATATGTCAAATGACTCTCATCGCCTTAACCTAAATCGCACATGCGATATAACACGGATCGAATATCGCAGCTGTTGTTGCTGTTTTTTTTATGGTGCCAGCCCACCACAACCTCCCAAAACCGCTGCAACTCCTGTAAGCCAGGATCTAAAGTAGATACAACCATGAAAACATCGAGACACTGAAGTCCGGCGCGTCCCAGGGACATAAGTCTTAGTTTCCGCAACGAAGTGAATCAGAAGATATTATAAGAAGGAGAAAAAAAAACGATAGTTGTTGTTGCTGTTAGGCAGAATGCCCACCAGGCACGAACACCTCGCCTGGTCGGAGAATTTTCCTTCCTTAGCGAACTTTACTCTCCGTTCCTAAACGGTTTTAAACTTTTATTTATAAATAGGCTGGTTTCTTAGGTTTAAAATAAATTGTATCAACTTTACAATGCAATAAATAATAAAAAAATAATCATACTCTCATCCATTGATTTGACAATTTACCTCCTTTTGGATGTTTTCTCGCTAATTTTAACGAAATAAGTATGTTTTTTGACGCAGATATGATGACGTCATAAGTAGGGATCCAATACAAAATTCATAGAAAAGTATCGTTTTTGACATTTCAATAAAAGTATTGACTACCTGTCAACTACCGTATTGTTTTGTTGTTAAAAATATTTGAGTTTACAAAAGTAGGTATTCGACACCACATTTGCTACTTATCTAAAATTTGCAGTATATAATGTATCTTTTAGTTTAATTTTAATCTTCTCTGTTTATTTTATTTATTTATTTATTTATAAGCACATGTATAATTTTACAGCACAAGCCAAAACATTATACAGTTAAACAATAAAAAATGTTAATTATTTATTATTTTACACTTATGTAAAAAGTACAATAATTATAATTACTTAAAACTAATTAAAAGTAAGTTTATCATTGTGATGTTAACACGGCTTTACACCTACACATTAACACATATACAAAGCGAAATCAGAGAGAATCAAACAGTTACAATAAAAGAAAATGATGAAATATGAACGCATATCATTAATCTATTTGTCTGTGGATGTCAGATTGTCTATGGCTGATTTTCTTTTTTTAAATTATCTGTGGTCCGATAATAAACGCATCGTCATTGTTAAATCACGCTCCGTCTTTTATTTAATATTTCTATTAGATTAGTTCGATAAATCACATCCATCTTACAAGTTTTCATCAGAAAAGGAAGAAAAAAACACACATAAATAAACATCACATTAAAAAAAATACAACAAAAAATCAATTAAAAACAAAAAAATCAGACAATTACAACATTAGGTTTAAAAAAAATGTACCTACATCACAATAAAATAAAAACAAAACATTTAACACGTTAAACGCCATGGGGGTCATTGGTGACCGGCGTTAGCGGAGGATTTAACTTCAACAGTTTTTTATTGGCAGTAAAAGTCTTAATTATACACTTCAACACAGACTTCAAAGACTTTCACAAAAACTGAGACAAACATTTTTAATCTGTTAATTTACTGCATCCATCTGTTACATGAACCCTGACCTACGAGCCATGGTTTAAACAAGGCGTCAACGAGTTTCATGGCTGCGATATCATTGAATTCAAGTGCAAGGCCAGCATACGTCACTGGAAATTAATTGCATTCTGATTAATTAAATTTATCTTTTTGTGGTAGGAGTGCGAATTTACGAGTCATATTTTTTTACCAACACTGCGTCTAATTGGACATTTAATTAACTTAATACTTATGTATATCCCCGAGAGGGTAGGCAGAGGTGCACATTACGGACCCTAATGCCACTATACAATGTAACACTCACTTTTCACTATGTTAGTTATGAGTCCCATGTAATAGGGGGTGAGTCTATTGCCATATACCAGGCACAATTCCAGACTCCGTGCTACTACTGAAAAAAAATACTTTGCCCGACCCAGGAATCGAACCCGAGACTCCTTGCCCGGCAGTCGCACTTGCGACCACTCGGACAACGAGGCAGTCTCCGTACTTAGTTTTAATAAGTTAGATTTATGATGATGGGCTCCTAGTTCTGCCTGACCTTACAACAAAATGTAGAGTTATAATTTTGACCCACAATCAAAGTATTAACTTCAATTAATTCACATAATTACAAAAAAAAATGTATTGTCTTTGTATCTGGACTCGGGGCCCTAGTGGTTATATTCATCAACTTATGAAAAAAAAAACATAAACGATTTACTTCAGTACAGGCTAATTTGGACATGTCTAGACATCTAGATTGGACTGTAAATGTACTTTACGTGATTCTACTGATATTTGCCCTACATGACCTGTAATCCATATGCGACCTATATTATAT